GCGTGGCAACGGTTGAAAAGTCGTTACCTGTTTTTTTTTTTCGTTATGTTAAGCCCAAAATACAGTAAGGGCAAGGCCCAATATACGATTGCCAAACAAAGATAAAAGCCCTATTACCCCAATTCTAGGTTTTTACAAATATAGGTCACGCAGAGAACGAAAACGTCGGCGTTTGGTCGTAATACATAAACCCTGGGGGTTGCTCGTTCTCTTCTTCTTTAGCTTTCAAGTCCCGAGCTGTACAACCAAAGAGGTCGCAGTAATGGAGACCCCGAACCAGATTCAAATCGACCTTGGTAATCTCATGGCCTTCGACCCTCATCACCACTTCCCCTCAGTCCCCTCCTCCAGGTTATTATTATTACAATTTTTTATAATTAATTATTTTATTTATCGTTTATATTTTGGTAATATTTTGTGTAGCACTGGGTTTGTGAATTTTTGTGTTTGAGAACTTGGTAATCTCATAACCTTATGATTGCGGTTGGTCCGATATCTGACCATTAAAAATGGTTTGTTCATTTGCCGATTTTCTTATTTTATTTATTTTTCACTATATTTAGGGAGGAATTAGTGAAGGAATGTCTAACAAAAGGCACTGAGTTGGTTCAATCGATTGCGGACAAACTTTTCAACTTACCTTCAACTGAAGACATAGATGGTCCCCTTGTGCAGTTGCCTCGTCCAGAAACTAAATTGCCCAGAGAGAAGCATGTAAGTCATTCCGCTTCGTTTCTTGATATGTATGATCGTACATATATTGCTTAACAATCTGTCATTTGAAAATAAGTGGAATGAAAGTTCTGAATGCATGGTTTCTTTTAAATAACTAAAACAATTAGAAAAAGAACTTACTTCTTAAGGGGTCTGAGGAATTCCTGTTACTTATTGATGCCCCTTCTGTGCTTCTAAATTATGGCACCCCTCATGCTAATTGGTTGAGTAGAATCTTGGCATATGCAAAAGGGCTGTTAGTGCTGCTGGTTGTTTTCTGTAACTGCATTAAGAGTTTCTATTGTATTCTTAGCATAAAGACCTGACTGCCAATTGCATATTTCTTTGTTTTCTACAGCTTCCAGTGCCTAAACCTCCTACAAAATGGGAAGTGTTTGCCAAAGCGAAAGGTTAGCCATTACTGTACGGAGTTATATGAATGAAACAACTTTTTTATTTCCCCTTTTTTCCCCCTTTCCCCACCCCAAACCCAAAAGGCTCTGTTTGAGGTTTAGCATGTTTGGCTTTTTGGGCCTTGAGAAATCTAGTTGGATTTAATATTTTGGAAAATGGAATATCCACGAGCTGAACTTGTATGTGTTGGTTATATTATGTTGGGGTTTTTGCAGGTATAAAGAATCGTAAAAGAGACAAGGTTGCATATGATGAACCAAGTCAGTCGTGGAAACGTCGCTTTGGATATGATCGTGCAAATGATGAGAATAGTGTGCCTATCATTGAGGCGAAGATGACTGATGGTAGTTAATTCAAACCCTTGAGGCCTTCAGAAAAGTCATTATATTCTTTTTATAAGCACTGAAACACATGCTTTATTTTGTCGATAAGACCCGAAAACTTATCTTTGTGGCCATGGATTTCACTTTTTGCAGTGCCAGGGGAAGATCCTTTTGCTAAAAGACAAGATGAAAAAAAGAAACGAGTTGAAAAACAAGACAAAAATAGGTTGCAGAACTTGAAGCAAGCTGCAAAAGTTGGTGCTCTGCCAAGGTTTTGACCTTTTACTTCTCTGCGTTATTCAAAGCATAGATAGCTCATCACTGGTTAAACTAGAAAACCAGTTAGCAGCATACACATCTAATTGGCCATCTGTAACAACAAATTCTGTCCTTTTAAGATCCAGAAAAACGTAATAAGCTAGCCTTTTTATTGTAAGTTCACACTTTGGACAAGTTTCAGAGATCTTATTATGTTTTTCTTGCATTGGAACACATAACTTAAGTAAACTCCTTTTGCAGTCATGTTCAACTAGCTGCTACAAGGTTGCCCATAACGGGAACCCAGGCTGCACCTAAGAAGGTTACTAAAGACGAATTGGGGAATGTAGCTGGAATAGCAGCAACTGCAACAGCCAGTGGTGGAAAGTTTGACAAGAAATTGCCAGGCGAAAAGCCTTCTAAACATAAAGGAAAGTTTCGCAAGGTATGTATTCTCATCCTAGCCATGTACAACTAATTGTTGCATGTCTTGATAAAATGGTAAAGTAGTTGACCTTTTTTTCCGGCTTTTGCATTCAGTTTTTACCAGTTGTAGAAGGAAAGGGCAAACACTCGCAAGAGAAGGAGCAAACAGAGAAAGTTCTGAACAAGCTAATGTCTAAGAATTCCCATGAGATACTTAATGTTGATAAGGTTTAAATCTCTTTCGCTGGCCATGGTTTTTTCCTGCAGCATTTTATTTTCCAATTATTAACTGAATCTTTGTGACACAGGCTGTTAACATGTATAATGTCAAGAAAGACAAGAAACGAAAGAACAGACCAGAGAAGTCTCCAGCATCCTCAAGCAAGTTGAAACCAAAGAAGAACCTTCACAAGAAGCCATTAAAGAAGGGATCTTCAAGTAACAGCAAGGGAAAGTGAAGTTATTATTAGTGATGACAATGATAAGCTGTTGGAGTTTTGAAGTAGGTTCTACAAGTTTAATTATTTGGAATCAAAAGTTTTTGTGTAAGACTGCTTTATTTTTCAGGAGAAAAGTATTCGATCTCTCTCTCTCTCTCTCTCTCATGTATATCTACATATGTGTGTGGAAGGTGGAATTTCTGTGGTCTACATGTCCTTGGAGACATGGATTTCCGAGTTCATGAAATGTGTCCACGTGTAGTTGATGAGTCTTCCAATGAATTATGGCACAAAACAACTTTCGTCCTCTCTTTACTCAGTAATTTGGAATGGTACATCGACAACCAAAAGTTCAATTTTTATTTTCACAAGTGGATAATTCGTATGACATATGGATTTAGTAAAGCGGATCCAAGTATTTGAGTTGTATCTAAATTAAGTATTATTGTAAACGGAAAAAATAAGAGGGATCATGAACCACAAAAAATAAACCCCACTTGCCCTTTAATCTCAACTTACAAAAAAATACTCGAATATAATTGGCTCGCCTAGTTTTGCAGTATTGGGAGCAAGACGTGCTTTTCTTCTCATACCGTACGCACAAAGAAAAACAGAGACCAACCAATACAGAAGCCGTTCTTCTGAAGCGCACATCATCCTTCTTTACTCCTGTAGTCTGCGGAGAGGAGAGCCTTTTCTTATAGTTTTTCATTCTTCATGCAGACCATGTAGCAACCTCTGTATTGAAAATCTCGCGTACCTTACGCTCTCTTATTCCGAAAAAGAAACGTCCTTTTGCTAATTTTGTTGATACCCATTAAGCCAACCAACTCTTTTTATATGTTCATGCAAAACAAAAGCAACATTCTTACTACATTGGAAACTTGAAGAAGACATCTTAGTTTCAAGCTTTGGATTAATGGGTAGAAGAAGATTGCAAGGCACTGAAAATGCAACCAACGGTGTTGTGTTCTCTTGTTCTGTGATTAGGATCAATCGAAGTCCTGCATCTCACGCTGGTGGGTTGTTTGCAAGCGTTGGTCAAGTAGCAAGGGGGTTTGTTATTACACCAAATCTTCAGAATCCTATAGATAAAAGCACAAAGCTTCTGAGTTCCACATACATGAAATATATGCCAACTCCGGATTTTGGTTGGCGGATTGGCAGGGTTGATGAGTTGGTGGAAGGAGAGGCGTTGGAGCTTGGAGAAGAAGAGCTGCTCAAGAACAACAAAAGGGGTGGTTTGAAATTGAAAATTAAGATTGGGAATGCATCATTGAGAAGGTTGTTCAGTGGAGCAATAGCAGGCGTGGTGTCGCGCTCTGCGGTTGCACCATTGGAGACAATAAGGACCCATTTGATGGCGGGGAGCTGTGGTCACTCCAGTTCTCAAGTATTTCAATCTATCATGGAGACTGATGGATGGCAAGGCTTATTCAGGGGTACTTTGGTCAATGTCATCCGGGTTGCCCCAAGCAAGGCTATTGAGGTATGAGGTCAAGAATGTTGTGTTTTACATTTGAATTTTGATAGTTGATTGCAACAATCTTTGAGTAAGTAGAGTTGTGCTGGAAGACTTGTTAAGTTGAACAAATATTTCACTCTGTATGGTTGTATTTTGTTTGCTTAATTCTTGTTAAAAATCTCTATGCAGTGAATTCTTCAGCTGAGAAGTATTTTATTCACTGATTTGCTTCTTTTCCCTCTGTTGTGAGATGCTATTAATTTTATATATTGCTTGTGCACCAGATCCAGCACTAGGCTGAGATTTCTACATTAATATTTGATCAGCCAGAGATATTGACGACGATGGCGTTGGCCTTCTCTTGAATTCATTGGGAGCTGGTATATTACTTGGGGAATCAGTGGATTAGCACACATAATTACTCAACTGATTAGCTGAAGCTCTAGTATGCTTCTTGGGGATCTTTATTCTCTCCGTAAAATATATGTTTGGTAGTTCTATATCATTTCTTTGAATGCTTGTGTTTTCCCTCCTTTACTGTGTATCTATAGATTTTCAAATCTGATTGTTCTGGTTCCTGCCTATCTAAACACTGCATATTTCTGAACTACACTATTTGGTAAATATTTTCATTTGCTGATGGAACCTATGTGCAGTTATTCGCTTATGATACGGTTAATAAGCACTTGACTCGACCTGGGGAGGAGCTGAAAATCCCAATTCCCGCTTCATCAATCGCAGGCGCTGTTGCTGGATTTAGCTCAACCTTGTGTACATACCCTCTGGAATTGTTAAAAACACGATTAACTGTGCAGGTAAGCCGGAGCCTGAAAAGGATTATTGAATTTATTGGCTTCTTTTCTTTGCATCAGTACTCACAGGTTTTTATGTTGATTGCAGAGAGGAGTGTACCATAACTTTTTTCACGCATTTTCTAAAATTGTCCAAGAGGAGGGACCTGCAGGACTGTACAGAGGCCTCACCCCAAGTTTAATTGGAGTAATTCCATATGCTGCCACCAATTACTTTGCTTATGATGCACTCTCAAAAGCTTACAAGAAAGCTTTCAAAAAGGAGGAAATCGGAAATATAACTACACTTTTAATCGGGTCAGCAGCTGCTGCAATTTCAAGCAGTGCAACTTTCCCACTTGAGGTGGCTAGAAAGAAAATGCAGGTCGGGGCTCTGAATGGGAGACAATACAAGCACATACTTCATGCTCTTTCTAGCATACTTGAGAGTGAAGGAATTGCTGGTTTATACAGAGGGTTGGGGCCAAGCTACATGAAATTGGTCCCTGCTGCTGGAATATCCTTCATGTGCTATGAGGCATGCAAGCGGATACTGACTGAGAATGGGGAAGAAATCTAATACGCTGAAAACCGCAGAGTTTGTAATTTTTCGATCAATTGAAAGGTAGGTAGTTTTTAGTTCATAAACTGAAAAATGTGGCTGACTCACTAGCTAACCTTGCTCTGAATATTGAGCTGGGATGTTCCATCTTTGAGTCCCTTCCACCTTCAGTGCACTCTGTTTTGCTTATAGTGCTTGCTATTAGTTTTGTTTGGGGGTATTGGCCAACTGGCCCCCATTCTACCTATTCTAATCCAACTGCTATCAATCATGTCTCTGATCTCATCAGATCATTATAAACATATGATAGGAGTCTTGCATCATCATCTTCATCGACATGAAAAGCTGTGATGAATGAAACTAAGCTGAAATTCAGGGTGTTGGAAAAAGTTATCTTTACGTATAAATGTATACATGTATCAAGAAATATAAATAAAGATTTTTTTTTTTGGGTCGAAGAAATATAACTAAAGCTTGAGTGAACATCTCACCATCAAACTGAGGTAACGTGCAGTGCAGAAGAGAGAGTTCACTTGAACACATGCTTGTGGAAACAGTTCTGGCAAAAGTATGTTGACGTAGCCTCTAGTTGTTTTCTATCTGACTAAACCTTTGCTTCTTAACAACCAACACGGTATTGAAATTTTGAATGGTTCATTTCAACATGATGAAATCCCTCTGAAAATCTCATCAAGGTGATGAATTGATATTAAACATAAAACTAAAATGAAATTGAAAGGACGACCATTTAATTTTAATTTTAAACTGCACTTGGGCATGAATCTATTAACCTGAGATTCTGCTTCATATAACAGCAGCTATAAAAACAAGCTGAGTGGAGTTGTACAAAATGAGGCTGCTCTGCTCTACATCTGGGACAAGAATTTCAATTCGAAAAGGATGACAAAAGACAAATACCCAATGAAACGAGCTACACCATACTTTGATCATATCTTCCAAAACACAAAAGACCATTGGGTTTGTTGAATCTCCAACTTGTCTGCAGCAACTATTTCTACCTTTATCAATTGATATGGTTATCATATACCCTATGTAAATATGCCACCAGCAAGTATATAATATTTCATGGTGTTGTGCACTGCATACCTATTCCCAACCACCAGCAACAATAGTTTCATAATTTCCATAGCCGTATGGAACAGTAACATCATTATAGGAAGCAGCAGAAGTGCCCACAGAACAATCTCCATAACCATAGCTGCTTGGACCGTAATAACTCTCACGCCCCGATTGGGCAGACCTACGGAAGTCATAGCCACCAAACCTACTGCCACCAGACCTTTGGCTCCTACCACCACCGCCACCACTAGTATAAGTCTGTGATCCTTCAGCATATTCGTTAAGCCAACTAGGAACCTCCTGGTTTGACTCCTGCATCAACTCAATTAGTCCCTTTGCAAGTGGCTGGTTCTTGTCATTGAAGAAGGCAGTTGCAAGACCAGAATTTCCAGCACGTCCCGTCCGACCAATCCTGTGAACATAGTCATCTATGCCTTTTGGGAGGTCAAAATTGATGACATGAGCAACATGAGGGATGTCTAAACCTCGTGAAGCAACATCTGTTGCCACCAATATTGGCGCAGAGCCACACTTGAATGATCTCAAAGCTCGTTCCCTCTCCTTCAAATTTGCAAGTCAAATATTATTGTAGATACATTGGTAGGGAATAAAAATCTTAAACCCAATACAGTACAACATATTTATCTTCAGTTACAATAACATCTAAGAATTAGGCGTTCAATTATTTACTGGAAAATAAAACTTATAATTAAGATATCAATAAGCTTGATCATAGGAAGTATTGAAGATATTGAGAATGCAAAGTTAGCAATGCTGCATGGAGAACACAGGAAGAGAAAAAGAAAATTACACTTGCAACCACATGCATTCATCTCCCTTTGAAACCAGTTTTAGGTGTAATTTGGAAGCTGATATTAAAAGTCTGCAGTCTAACTAAAAACAAAATAAACCCTATTTATATATAATTGCTAAAAAAAATAATCCATTAAGACAATTGACAGAAAGCAATGGAATCCATATAACTACTCAAACTCAGATTATAAACCGCACGAGCAACAAATGAAGACAAAAATCAGTGAACACGCAATAAATGGTGCACTCCCAAAACAAATTTAGAAAAACTGTTAAAAAAAATGAAGAAATGGAGAAAAGGAAAGAAGATAATCTAACCATTTGCACTTTGTCACCATGAATAGCAATTGCTGGGAAACCATTCATGCATAACCAGTTTTCTAAAGCATCTGCACCTCTCTTGGTCTCCACAAACACCAACGTTAAAGCAGGCTGAATTACAAACAATATCATGTCTTAACATAGGCTCAGGAAAACTATCCATTTCCAAAAGAAAAAACTTAGGATGGGAGAGAATATTCTCCAATCAAAACAGAGTAGATGTCATTGTCATATAGATCACAGTTCAAGAATTCTCAAATTGACATCAAACCTTGCCATGGCTTCCATTGGCCTGCTGGCTATGAAGATGATCCATTAAGTGGCTTCGTTTGTCCATATCCTCAACAAATTCGATTTTTTGCGCAATAAGATCAGTACTTGATCCAACTCTTCCAACCGCCAGGAATATGTAGTTTGAAAGAAAATCTGCAGCAAGCCTCTGCAAGAAACAGATTATAAATACAAGCACACTAGCCAGAGGAGGTTTAAGCAAAAACTAGAAAAATTAGATCGAAGCACCAAACCACTAGGCAAGAGCAAGATACTAAGCGCAAATAATGAAACATCAAACTCATCATATCATATAAGAGAACAGAATCATGTTATAAGCTGATAGAATTAATGTGCACACCAAGCATAACAAGTAATCACAAACCTGTATCTCATTTGGGAATGTAGCACTGAAAAGCAAAGTTTGTCTAGCACCAGGGCAAGGCATGTCCATTTGTTCAACAATCCTTCTAATCTGTGGCTCAAAACCCATGTCCAACATCCTATCAGCCTCATCTAATGCCAAATATTTGATCATTCTAAGTGAAACTCGTGACCTCTCAATCATGTCCACTAAGCGCCCTGGAGTGGCAACTAAGATATCAACACCTCTCTCCAGATTACGGAACTGCAGAATTGAGCATTATCAAGGCATCATTATCAATAAACAAGATATAAATGTGTGTGTGTGTGTGTGTTTTCTAAATCATTGAGTGGAGAAATGCAATCATCCTTAAAAATTAGGAACGGCAATTACACAATACCCTCACCCCGATTAACAAATCTTATACATAAACTGTTTGGTATCTCAAAAGAGAACGCTTATCTTTCTTTCCAATACTTGACCAGTTTATGATATTTCATCAACAATGCAAACCACAAATTGGGTCAGCTACCTTATATCCATAGCCAACTGCACCATTCAAAGGGCAAAGAGGAAAAACAGAAATAGGAGCACACAGAAGAGATAACCAAAGAGAAATCTAGACTTGATACCACATTGATGCTATCAAATGCATAAGCTAGTGAGGTACCAAAATCTTAAATATCAGTTTAACACAAATATACTGCATCTTATTGTGAGAAAATAGTAGTCCAGAATGGAAAGCATAAGCTTAACAATCAGTATACAACAAGTGAAAAACGAAGCATAATAATCATCGTGAAAGATAACCAATGGTAATAATCAAACACAAAATTTTAGGCCACAATATCACTGAAGAAAGACACAAACCTGCTGAGAAATTGGTGCCCCACCATAAGCAACAACAATCTTGACCCCACTCTGATAAGCAAACTTCTTAGCTTCATCATGTATCTACCCAAAAAAATTCAAAAGCAAACAAAAAAAAAACAGCAAATACAAAACAAAATTAGACAAACACCCATTAGCACAAAAACAACAAAAATCACCAGAAGCTAGCAAACACATTACCTGACCAGCCAACTCTCTAGTCGGAGACAAAATGAGCGCAGTAGGACACACAGTATGAGCCCCACCTCGAGTCGGCGACCTTCCCAAACTGTTATTGTTCAAGACCCCACTAATGATGGGTAAGCAAAACGCCGCCGTTTTGCCAGACCCAGTTTGAGCACAAGCCATTAAGTCCCGGCCAGCCATGACTACTGGAATCGCGTGGCGCTGAATAGGAGTGGGCTTAACGTACTTACATCGCGTTTTGATGTTGTGGTTCAAACACTCACCCAAATCGATCTCGTGAAAGGTGTCCACCGGCGGTGGAATGTCGGCGCCACTCGCCTCAACTGGGATGTCTTCGTAGGCATCAAAATTGATACCGCCATTGCTATCTTCTTCAGTGACTTTGAGTTGGTCGAATTTCTCAGAGACATTATCAGACGGGTTTAGGTCTAGACTTGGGTTTGGGGGTGGTTGAGCCCAAAAGCGACCACCACGGCCACGACCTCGGCCCCCGCGACCCGTGCCGGCCCGACCGGGTTGCCTACCGGGACCGGTGTTGCTTGACCGAAAGCCGTACTGGGCTGACTCTGTAGAGGACCCATATCCGTAGGAGCTGCCACTGTGCCTGAGATGTGGAGGTACGTAGCTGGGCCGAGGTTGGCGAGTGGGCGTCCGGGTTGACTCAGTAACAGCATCAGACCAAGACATTGTCATTGCGACGGCGTTTTCTTCAGAGAAACAACAAAACAGGGCTCAAGCTAAAAGGAGAATATGAAAAATGGAGAGAATGTAGGGATGTGTTGTCTATATAAAAATGCAGTGCAGAGGAGAGAAGCTGTACGGACTGACGTCGTGGAGGGGTTGGCTCGAATATCAAAATGGCGTACCTATTTTGGTGAAAGAGACTGAGACGATGATGAAAAAAAGTTGCAGTATGTAGTAAAATCACTCTCTCTCTCTCTTCTTTTCATTTCCCATAAAGTTAAAGAAGCTACAAAACCCTAAAAACCCCTTCGAATCTAGAGAGAGAGACGTTTCGCTTCTCTTTCCGAGAGGGCAGGACTCTCAGGCGAAGTATGTGGGGAGAGTGGAGAAGCGTCGTTTTGCACGTTCATTAATGCGCGCGCGTCCATGACCCATGAAACGCCCGCGAATTTTTGTTTTGCGAAATTGTCCTTTACTTCTCAATTTTATGTCGTACGGGGGCCCTTTGTAGCATGACTTGGAGCTCTGCGAGTGGGCGGTGCAGGAGACATACGGGTAGAGATTAGCTTAGGCGATTGCATTTCTGAAAATATCTTCCTGAATGGACCGGCGATATTTGTGGGAAACTGTGGGGCTCTTTGGTGCTCCACACGCGTACTGAATGCGAGTGGACTTCACTAATAGAGAAGCCCAATGGCCAAGAGGGTAGAATCGGAATTCGGCATGTTGGCTAGCCTATACATGATAACCCCTAGTAGAAGTATAGGCGCACATCTTAATTTTGATTTTATATTCCTAAATAAATAAATAAACTCTTTTTTCTTGTTAGAATAGAAAATAGTTAAATTATTTGAATTTGGGGACCTCCCAAAACTCATCCTTTAAAAATATATATATATTAATTTTAATCTATATTTAAGATGCGCTTTGCTATCTTTGTTTAGAAATCAGAAGGAATAGTAAAAGCATCTCCAACCAAACATGCCACGTAGGCATTTAACAGCTAAAAATAATATCTCATATTACTCCAACCGATGTGTCAAAACTGATGTAAAATGAAAGCTAGAAATTGAGATGTTATTTTTGACATCCCAAAAGCAAGATGTTAAATGAATATTTTATTTTTCTTTTCTTTTCTTATCTTATTAATTAAAAATGAATCAACAGTAAAATGTAATAAAATAATAATTTAATTTGACATATCGAATAGGTGTAAAGCTGTGTAAGATGTCAAATTGCCACATCAACCATCAAATTTAAATTTGATATTTGGCATTTGACATCTCCCTTAGAGATGCTCTAAGCTTCCACATGATTTAAGTCCAGGAACAAGCATCAAAATAGTAGAGCAAATCATTCTTCCAATCTCCATAGCTCCTAGAAATATTTGTACTAACATATCCTTGGTCAATTGAACCATCATCAATCTGGCACAATACATCTAAAGATTTGCTAGGCATGATGGATGGCAATTCCCAAAGTATACATCAAATATGAAGAAAGAATATATATATATATACACACACAAAAGAGCACACCACATCAGTAACCTTCCAGTTGGTCATTCATGACAGCATTGCACTCCAACATTTGCGAAGCAAATTTGTCTCTCGGATTGTGCCATATGTTTATACCGACGCATATCAATACAGTCACGAGATTAAAGGAAGAGCTGTATCCAGTCAGTACATTGTCCGGTTACCAGTCTTCTTTTCCTCCTTAAGTCTGTTCAACCATTTCGGTTTCGGTCAATAGATGCTTCTCTTCCTCCTCAAGTCTTTCCAACCATTTCAGTCCTAGATCGCATCCTCCTTTCGCAGCAATGTGGAACCGTTCTCTTGCCATCTCAATGGGATCTGTTACAAGGCTTTCTCCATTCTTTCTTGCCATTCTGGCCAAAGAACCCCTCTTGGAAACGAACTTCGTCACAGATTCTGGGATTTCAACACCTAAGACATGCAATTATGCCATTAAGGGTATAAAAAAATCACAAAATTGGGAGGGGAAATATAAATTATGGGTGCTGCAAGCAACCAGAATCTCCATATTGAAAAGTGAAAATGGATAGGAAATGACTTTGGCTGCCACGTTGCCATCTCCTATGGTGGAATGCAGACAACTCAAATATAGCCATGGGATTTGTTTGACCATTGGCTACATGATATCTGTGTTTAGAACTGTTTTATTTTCTCATAAATAGGATGATCACCAAAGAGGACCTTACAGTGAGTGAATCTCCCAATCACCCTTCCTAGCCACTATTTGTGTTACACCATCTATGAGTGCACATCATCCCACTTAGAATTGTGCAACCAAAAATGTCACGTCAAAGTCATGATTGTCTACTCTATGGACACAAAATGTTTTTTTTTTTAATTAAAGAAAAAATCTGGAAATAAAACAAAAGAAGCATGGTTGGAAGAATAGACCTTGAAGAAGAAGAGACCCAAATGCTATAGCTGCACCAGCATGCCCCTGCATGTATTAAAAGCAAGAACAGTTTAAAATGGTACACTAGTTGAACATAAGATGAGGTTCTGCGTATGTATACACAAAAATTTGTAAAGTTTTGTTTTTCAGAAATATTCAGTCAAGTTATTCATATGATGCACCAGTAATTATCTATGCAGTTGAATTTCCTTCTATTTTTTTTGCATTTGGATCATGAAACTTGGCACTTGTTTTGCAAATGGAAGAAAGAGGCTGTTCAAGCGAAGAAAATGTGAAAAGTTTAAGTACATATAGTTAAATGACAGAATAATCTATCAAGTACATCTAAGCCTTCAGAATTCACCATTTTTGCCCAATGAAAATCTGTAACTACTAAAACACTTGTTTAAACAATGTCAAATTTTATGACTATTACTTAGTTTCCACCAACATGCATATCCCTCATTGATGGTCCATCACTGAAACAGGGAGCAGCATTTACCTTGTCTGATGCCCTATGGAAACACCATAATGCGGAGGCAAAATCTTTCTTCACACAGTCCCCCGTCAGATACACGGCACCCAGAAGATAAAGAGCACCTGGATGCAACTAGAACATAGCAAGCTCAGGTAAGGATTCGAAACAAATTTCAGAAGCATTAAAGTTTCTGCATTATAGAAACATACCTGGTCAACAGCCTTCTCCAGATAATGGAAAGCTTGTTGATCCGATTGGACATGTTCATTCTAACCAAAACCGCAGCCAGAAAACATCACAAAGTCATTGTATAGGCAAAAAGTGAAAAGGAGAAAAGAAAGACATGTGATAAAACAATTGGCAAAGCCCTAATTTAAACCAAAAGAACAGTGTGCTAGTAGGGGAAGAGTTAGGCACAGGAGCCATTAGAGTGCATGCAAGACTATTACAGGAATAGCGCCTGGTACACCTTGGAAACATAAAATTAATACTCAGAAAACTAAATCAATCCATACAACTAAAATTCTCTACTTCAAATTCAAATTGCTTCATCAGGGCATACCTCAACTCTAAGCTTACAACCTAGTTCATACTGTGCATCCGGATCACCCATATTCGCCGCTTCAACTAACAAAGCAGCTCCTCTGTTATGACAAAAATGGCAAGAGCATCAATTCCGTGAACTCTTTTTCCTTCATTCCTTTTTTTTTTTTTCTTTTCTCAAATGCTGATCTAGATGTCTCATGAAAAATTACAGAGTAATAATATGTACGGTGACTATCAATGAGTAAAAGGATTAAGACAGTAGACTTACATAGCTCTGCAAGCGCCTGGGACATGGTATTTCAAATGTAATTTGGACAACCAATACCTGGCATGGGTATTTGAGTTGTCAGCTTCTAGAGCCAACTCAAAGTTTTCCTTTGCTGCCTGATGTTGATTCAAATAACAGAAAGAGACATGTTAATGCATAATGTTAGATCAGAAAACAAAAAATTATCTCAATTTCACTAACAAAACCATAAATTCAGAACTGGGTTTTTTTTTTTTTTTTTTTAAATGCATGGAAAACACAACTATAAAGATCCATACACATTACACACCCTTAATAGAGGGATGAGGCGGCTATCATTGAGCTCGCAATAATCGATAACTCTGTCCACTTCCTTTAGAGCACTCCACCCTTTGGCTATCAACTCCATGGCCTTCTTGTTCCTGCTGTGCATTTCTCTCTGAAAATCAAATGAACAAATGTAAGCAAATGAAAATATAAATAAATGATAATTTGCCGAAAGTAGCTTCGGAAAGTGGAAAATATGTACGGACCCGTTGATTGAATTGAGATATTCCATTGGGAGGTCTGAAACTGAGCTTCTTCAACAGCTGCCTCTGCATCATCATCTCTGTGTGTGCGAGAGCGAGAGAGAGAGAGAGCGCTAGCGCAAGAACGTTGGAAAGAATGGTACAAAGCCTAAAAGCAGTTGGGCTTCGGCCCCATTCTAACAAAAATAGAGGCCCGTGGACCATGGTTCATGGGTTGGTCCATCAAATCCTATAAACATCTAAAATAAATACTTCTCCTTTTCTTTTTCAATTAATTTATGGTAACCATCCATTCTCTATCATTTTAACACCTTTCAGGAAATGTGAAAATAAATTAAAAAAACCTTTAAGATAATATATTTGGGTGAACTTCAAAATAATCGAAATATAAAGAGCTACTTTATATACTAGTTGGGCATACTGCATTCGTACACCACCTTATATATCACTTCTCTAATAGAGGTCTGGGCCCATCTATATTAAAGAGGTGACATGGCTACAAGAGAATCTGAAATTGAAGTAAGTAGTATTTAGTAGCCATGTCACCTAGAGATGGGCCCAGACCTCTATTAGAGGACCCATCTCTAGGGAGATGCACTCTAAAATGGCTTTGAATTCAATTACCATATTCAAAACTAATATTTAATACCAAACAAATAAATCAAGAGAAAAAACATAAATCAAAGTATAATAGTCGATACTAGGGCTAATAAAAAGCTAATATATGTTATTAATAGCATGATCTGAGCTTTTGCATCCTCTTCCTCACTGACTTCTAGAGGCATACATATTGTATGGTAGAGGGCAGTTTTTGTTTAAGGTATTGGATAGCATGATCTCTTGCATACGCTTCCTCATTGACTGGTATGCCATTGCTCTCGATTCCAGTAGGCCAACACCAATACCGGACAGGATTTATAATAATCTTCCCCAGTGCAACAACATTCATTTTCAAGTACATGACATGTTCATCATAACATTTCATAGCCACGGTACCCTGAAATTTCTACTTCCTTGAGGTAGTATTGGGGGCAGTTGGCATTAGCTTTCTCTATTATTGCTGTCCTCCAATCGGGAGTTCCGATACCCAACTGCACCGCACCAAAGAAACAACGCTTTAGTCACAAGAAGAACTAAAAAGAAAAACCCTAATTCCTTTTTCTTCTCCATTTTATACTTTGGTAATTTATTCAGTTCGACAATAATATTTAGTAATTCGTAAATAATAGAATGAAGAGAAATGAAATGTACGTATCAAGTAATGCATGCATAGCATACCCCAAAATTTAGTGTCCGCATGTAAGGAGCTGCCTTCATGAAAGAAGCTAACCGACCAAGGGACAAATAGTAGTCTGCATCGACTAATAATTGCAAATGCTTCAGATTTGCTAGTATGGGAAATACATGATTCGGATTGTACACCTGCAACAAAGCCAACCCACCGAACCAAATGAGGAGCAAGTAAAGAAGAAAGAAAGCTGACACATGAGATTATATACTAACGGCTTCTCTGATATCCAGCTTCAAAATCTCTAGATGAAAAAGACAGGATGAAAGTTGGCTGAAAGCAAACCTTATGAATTCACTATAATCATTGCCTAACTTGTTAATGGCAACCTCAACAAGCCGCGGTACATTCTTGATATGCAATGCAGCAATGGTACCAAAAATCCACAAAAAACAAATGAGACAATGTTTGCATTAGAAATCTCAATGTTTTTGAGTTGTTGACAATATTTTATCTCCAAATGTTTTAATGCAATCGAGGGACCAACAACTCTCAAATTAACTAAATCTCAAGCTATAGTTAGAGATACTCGCTCAAGAAGTGGACAGTTGGACAATAAGAACTCGACAAGTTCCCCGGTCACAGCAACATGTCGGAAACGAATAACTTTGAGGGACTTGAAACCAATATTATTATTGTAATATCCACCAGAGCCTAGGCTTGGAAAGCCATAAAATTGGTGCTTCGAAGCAGATCCCTTTTCCATACCCAATAGTTTGTGGGGAAACGCATAGTCATATGGACTGTAATTCGCCCATTCTGCCAACAAGTCCAGCTGAAGTTATAAACATCTAAAATAAATACTTCTCCTTTTCTTTTTCAATTAATTTATGGTAACCATCCATTCTCTATCATTTTAACACCTTTCAGGAAATGTGAAAATAAATTAAAAAAACCTTTAAGATAATATATTTGGGTGAACTTCAAAATAATCGAAATATAAAGAGCTACTTTATATACTAGTTGGGCATACTGCATTCGTACACCACCTTATATATCACTTCTCTAATAGAGGTCTGGGCCCATCTATATTAAAGAGGTGACATGGCTACAAGAGAATCTGAAATTGAAGTAAGTAGTATTTAGTAGCCATGTCACCTAGAGATGGGCCCAGACCTCTATTAGAGGACCCATCTCTAGGGAGATGCACTCTAAAATGGCTTTGAATTCAATTACCATATTCAAAACTAATATTTAATACCAAACAAATAAATCAAGAGAAAAAACATAAATCAAAGTATAATAGTCGATACTAGGGCTAATAAAAAGCTAATATATGTTATTAATAGCATGATCTGAGCTTTTGCATCCTCTTCCTCACTGACTTCTAGAGGCATACATATTGTATGGTAGAGGGCAGTTTTTGTTTAAGGTATTGGATAGCATGATCTCTTGCATACGCTTCCTCATTGACTGGTATGCCATTGCTCTCGATTCCAGTAGGCCAACACCAATACCGGACAGGATTTATAATAATCTTCCCCAGTGCAACAACATTCATTTTCAAGTACATGACATGTTCATCATAACATTTCATAGCCACGGTACCCTGAAATTTCTACTTCCTTGAGGTAGTATTGGGGGCAGTTGGCATTAGCTTTCTCTATTATTGCTGTCCTCCAATCGGGAGTTCCGATACCCAACTGCACCGCACCAAAGAAACAACGCTTTAGTCACAAGAAGAACTAAAAAGAAAAACCCTAATTCCTTTTTCTTCTCCATTTTATACTTTGGTAATTTATTCAGTTCGACAATAATATTTAGTAATTCGTAAATAATAGAATGAAGAGAAATGAAATGTACGTATCAAGTAATGCATGCATAGCATACCCCAAAATTTAGTGTCCGCATGTAAGGAGCTGCCTTCATGAAAGAAGCTAACCGACCAAGGGACAAATAGTAGTCTGCATCGACTAATAATTGCAAATGCTTCAGATTTGCTAGTATGGGAAATACATGATTCGGATTGTACACCTGCAACAAAGCCAACCCACCGAACCAAATGAGGAGCAAGTAAAGAAGAAAGAAAGCTGACACATGAGATTATATACTAACGGCTTCTCTGATATCCAGCTTCAAAATCTCTAGATGAAAAAGACAGGATGAAAGTTGGCTGAAAGCAAACCTTATGAATTCACTATAATCATTGCCTAACTTGTTAATGGCAACCTCAACAAGCCGCGGTACATTCTTGATATGCAATGCAGCAATGGTACCAAAAATCCACAAAAAACAAATGAGACAATGTTTGCATTAGAAATCTCAATGTTTTTGAGTTGTTGACAATATTTTATCTCCAAATGTTTTAATGCAATCGAGGGACCAACAACTCTCAAATTAACTAAATCTCAAGCTATAGTTAGAGATACTCGCTCAAGAAGTGGACAGTTGGACAATAAGAACTCGACAAGTTCCCCGGTCACAGCAACATGTCGGAAACGAATAACTTTGAGGGACTTGAAACCAATATTATTATTGTAATATCCACCAGAGCCTAGGCTTGGAAAGCCATAAAATTGGTGCTTCGAAGCAGATCCCTTTTCCATACCCAATAGTTTGTGGGGAAACGCATAGTCATATGGACTGTAATTCGCCCATTCTGCCAACAAGTCCAGCTGAAGTACTTGAACTCTCTTTTCCATTGCAAATTGAATCCATTTATCAATGTCACTTGTAAAGCCCTTGTCTAGAAAAAAGATAACCCGGAAACGTTCAATGCTTTGGCCTCTATGCTGCTCCAGCACCCGATTCACCTAATTGACGTACTTACGGCCTTCTTGGTTTAGTATATTTTCATCAAGTCTATAGAAGTATACGGTCCTCAAAGTTAACAGCGTCTAAATTGAGAGTCGTAGTAGATGCCCAGACATACCGCCATCGCCTAGAAAGGATACTAGTCGCTGCTGCTTCCTTTAGGGTCAATAGTGACACTATACGAACAACAACTTCATGTGGCAACTTACTGATTCGGTCCTCCTCCTCCGCCGCCACCAATTCCAAGTTGTGCTCATCATCCTTGATTATTTTTCTTCTCTTTGTTCCCAATTCCTCCGAATTATTGTACTCACCATCATCCTTATACATTATATGGAGATATCATAAACATTATAAAAATAAAAAAATTAATAAAAAAGAAGAAAGAGAGTAAAGCATTTTATTGTTTACCTTGGGTTGGGCAGATTGAGAGGTTGGGCTTATTCCTTTTTCCATTAAATCTGGGAGTTTGATGACGAACGTGGAGGGACAGAGAAA